AATATAAACCATGTCATGCTTTGCAGAGAAAATACATGAACTATCTTTTGGCATGTTATAAATAGTTAATTCTAATAATGAAAGCTTTTTTCAGATGAAAATTCTGAAAGGATTCTGTCAGGCCTATAGCTTCTGGTGGGATAGTGTCACTGGCAACGGTAATCAGCCCAGGTCCATCTGTCCCCATGGTCCATCGCTGCTGTTGCCTGTGGTTTGCTGATAGTGCAAGAAGTTCAGAGTTTAGTAGGTTGCACAGTCCTAGTAGCGATTGGTGCATTCGCTGAGGCATAAGCATCCCTTCCAAAACTCCTGTCTATCTTGGGGGATTGGGTTTTCTTTTTTGTTTGGGTTTGTTAGTCTTCAAATTACAAAGTAGTAAAGTCTTCAGCTTTAGAACTAGGGTGTATTTTTCCTTCCATAGAGTTAAGAGATGGGAAGAAGAGAGCACTGACCTTTTCTACCTGGCGTAGGCATGTGTGAGTGTTTTCTCTGTGCGCTGCTTTCTGGTGATGGCATCTCTTGAAGCGAAATTCCCAGCAAGACCGTGGGGGTTCTGGATCTCTGTCACCCACCATTCTTTCCATACATTGATGGTTTATTGTATACTGGAATCTTCCCGGGCTTGTGTCTCATCGGCCCCTTTGTGGCATGTGCAAGTTGGAGGAAGGGCCTCAGAGCACCTTCGCATCCTAAATTGCCCCCAGAGCTCATAGGAGTCACATTGTATGGTTCAGGTCTTCCTGTGATAACCCCTCTCCAGGTGTCCACATCCAAGCTGGTACCTAGGAGCTCTGCTGCAGCACAGCTCTTATCACCCTCTACAACTGAAAGGAAGGGGTAGTTGGGGGGGGTCGGTCTCGTCTCCCAGGTAACAGGTGATAGGACGAGGGAAAATGGCCTCAAGTTGTGCCACAGGCAGGTTTAGGTTGGACATTATGAAAAATTTCTTCACTGAAAGGGCTGTCAAGGACTGGAACGGGCTGCCCAGGGAAGTGGCTGAGTCCCCATCCCTGGAGGTATTTAAAAGCCGGGCAGACGAGGTGCTTAGGGAGGGGGTTTAGTGGTGGGATGGCAGGGTTAGGGTAATGGTTGGGCTTGATGATCTTAAAGGTCTTTTCCAACCTAAACAATTCTATGATTCAGGCTGAAGCACAGGCAGGAGGGGGATTTCTGTCACTTGAAGAAAACCATTGCATCTCTAACAAACCAGGAGATGTTGGCAGGTCTCATGGAGGTGCAGACATCTCTGACGTGACTGCTAACCAAAATTAAAGACATAAATAAATTGTTTGCTGTAATAGCTCTTTGTTTCAAAAAAAACTTCAGTTGCAAGCACCGACCCAGAGAAAAAGTCACTGAAGTATTGAGGTTGCTGGGTTTAACCTATGGAAAAGGAATAAGCTCAGGTGCTGAAAGCTGACTCAGGTATTTTCAATTTTCCTGCCAGAGTGAGAACTATTTGCACAGACGAACAAATTACAGAAGAGTTCCAAAGTAATGTAGAAAGGAATAAGCTTTTTAAATATATATCAATTTCTGCTTGGGGAACAGTGAAATTCAGTTAAAAGTCTTAACTGCCTGTACTGCTTTTAAGCACAGATAACGTAGAGAAGAATTTGGCTGGTGTCAGCCCTTTTTGTCTCACTAAGCTGCTGAGAATCCTGGGGCAGGACAGAGAGGAAAAAGCACTTGGGGGAAAATCTAGTGCAGAGGAAATGGGAGAAATGTCCTGCTACAGCTGTGGAGGAGAACGGTGCTTCCTCTGCCTGGGTAATAGCTGGCTTTCCCATTTGTTTATGTTGGTTGTCATGTTCCCATACACTCTGAGAGGGAGAGGGATGTGCATATGGGTGTATGTATCTATAACTGCACACACAAAAAATAGTGGTTGCCTATATTGCGTACATGGTGGTTTGGGGACCAGTTTCTAAGTATGTGGTTCATGGTATGTCTGTGGTCCAAATGAGTAGCAGCATAAGAATTTTGGGGTTGTTTTGTTGTATGTGTTGTTTTCTTCCTATATAAAAAATGAGAAGATGAGGCCTCTCTCGGAAAGGACCACTTTTTGTCTCGGGGAGCTACCCAGCCGTCCCTCTTCAGAGATGACAAAACCATAAGTTTTGACTGACTGGTTAGAGATGGCAGATTGAGGGTTCTAGCTTACTGTAACAAATTCCTGCATAATTTTATTGTATACTGTCCTGGTTTTGGCTGGGATAGAGTTAATTTTCTTCACAGTAGCTGGCATGGTGCTGTATTTTGGATTTAGTGCTAGTTCCAATAGGATGCATGCTAGCCAAAGATCCAGAAGAGATCTTCCAGCAGGATAAGAAGAGGCATTAGCTCTTTAATCCTCGATACAGAGCTCCAAAACCAGGCACAACATAGAACTGACTATAAATAATTCCCTATTATTGTTTGGTTTAGATTTTTGTATTTAGTTGTTACACCTAAATAGCTGCATTGTCCTAAATATGTATGCTCTCAGAAGGGCAATACCATTCATGTCTTTATGTAGATTATGCTTCTGTGAGACTGCTTTTGTTGCCAACTGAAGTCGGAATCTCACAACTTAAATTTGGATACCGCTGCTTCGGAGAATATAGTTTAAATATTAAACATATATTTGGAGTGTGTAAGGATGGGATAAGCCAAGGAGGAGGATTCGAGGAGGAACTGGGGGAGAAGAATGAACATGATACTTGTTGCAGATGATTTCATTGTACTGAGACTCTGATTCAGTGGTATTGATGGAACCGAGTCACTCTCTACCACAATAGGAAAACTTTATACAGATTTCCTGCTTTACACAAGGATTGTAAGAGGAACATGGTAACAGCATTATTTGGAGGAAATTCCTGTCTGGTGCATTCACTGGGAGTGATACCGGCCAGTGAGCACAAACTTGTGTCATTTTTATGGAAGTATTTCAAATTTGAGGAACATCCGGTGCATTTGCAAATTTGTCATTCTACAGGTGTAACTAGCACTGTCTGTGCACTCATTCCAGGTCTGGCAGATGACTAATTTGCCTGCCACCCTCTCTGTGACCCAGATCTGAACCTCTTAAGAAACCAAAGTCAGCCTCCAGTTCCCCCGCTTTCTAATTCTACATGACTAAGTCATTCAGCATCTTATAAATACTGTTGCTCATTCCAAATACATTGGTTACCTGTGCACCAGTCATTGCCAGCATATTGCTGCAGTGGTGTAGTTTAGCATTGGATAACTGGCATAAATTAAATCATTTGAGTCACAGTGTGGCCCTTTCTGCTTACATCCACATGTGTCTGTTACGTATGTGCAGCTTATGGGAGATACACGAATAATTGCAGCACTGCAAATGCCCCGCCAGCAAACAAGGAACTCATACATACTCAGGAAATAGGTATTGTTGCAGAATTTATGTCAAAATAAGAGGAAGTGAAGAATGCGCCAAAGTATTTGCTTTGTGTGACTATGGGAATCCTCAAGAAATTCTTTCCAACCAGAGGATTACAGTGAGGAAAATAATGCAAACGTGTCAGCGGTAGATTTTTGTCTGCTGATGGGTATATTAATGACTGAGGCATGTGTCTGGGTGTCTGCATGGCATTTTCTGTATTTGTGAATGGGAGCCCTGTATTCCGGCTTAGCTTTGCTGTAAGGCGCACAGTCAGTCCCTTCACTGTCACTCAGCTTTTTCCCATCTGAAGAAGGGGAATTGGGAATCACTCATTGTTCTCAAAGCACTTTCATGTTTAAGGATGTATCGTAATCCCTGCTGTTCTTGTCACAAATGATCTCTAGAATAATAACAGTAAATCAAGGATTTGTAGAGGTTTGTAGAAATAGATTTCCCTGTGCTTACAGTTTTCTACAATTAACTTTAATTTCTGCATGTGCAATTACTTCTGGGTGTAGCTCAGGCTGCTTGGATGTCTGAGAACTTGATTGGGCTCATGTATCACATATTTAGGTATCAAAATATTGTGCCTTATTGCACCTAGAAAACTGCAAGTGTCATGGAAGAGGTCAGCTTGAAAATCAGGTCCTTGCAGTTCACAAAAGTGTTGGCTGGAACAGGGAAATGGGCCATGAAGAAAATTTTGTTAGATGAACAATTCCTTTTTGTCCATTTTCGGCTGCATTGTGCTGAACGTGAAGTCCATCTCCTTGTTCTGTTGGATTGCCCTTTGCTTGGAAGAGCACGTAGCTCTGGGCAGCTTAATGCCTTTTGCAACCTGTGCTGCTGCCTTGTCTGGCTCTGAATCTTTCACCCGGTGGTGCTACTTACTGAGCACGCCGATGTCCACAGTAAAGCTCAAGTCTTATCTCTTCGTAACTGTGTGAATCTCAGCTCAGATCGTAACCTGAGGTTTGTCAGAAGTGTTCAGTGTTGGCTTTACTCTGCCGCCCTGCTGCGAGGGGGAGATTTATGCTTTTTTCCACGGCAGTGGAGTGAGAGAGAGGTGCTCAGCACCTTTGAAAAACTTCCCTTATTCAGTAGCTTCTAATCAAGGAAAAAAGCGTAAGTTTGGGGGATTGCAGGTTCAATTCTTCCACAGCTTTGAAGAGCCTTTAGGATTTCCCTTGGTGTGCTGGGGAGGATGAGGTTGTGCTTGGCAGGTTTTGCTTTTTCTGGACCCCGGAGCCTCCCCAAACCTTCCTCTGTCAGTGAAGGTTGCTGGCACGTGGGCTTAAGAAGAGTGAGCTACATCCTGGGAATAAACCAGGTCTTCTGCCTCTATCAGAAATATTTTCTTTAGTGTCACTGGGTAAATGTGTATTATTACTACTTTTCTTTCATCCCTATAAATCTTCACAAAAATATAGTCGCTTTCCTCCCCAGCAAGAGACAAATTAAAAGTCTGAGGTTTTAAAAATTAAATGCATATAAGGGGGTCACTTTCCAGTCACATGGGTTTCTGTTTCCCTATTTGTGCCGCTTTCACTGTTGCCCATCCTGAATTCCAAATGATGAGGGGAGACCTGCTAACATGTGTTCTTTCTTTTCTCAGTATTTCTGGCTTCTTGTGCTCTCACGCGGTTTGGTTGGCATCGGTGAAGCAAGTTACTCCACTATTGCACCAACCATCATAGGAGACCTTTTCACCAAAAACACAAGGACCCTTATGCTGTCCGTTTTCTATTTTGCAATTCCTCTTGGCAGGTAAGTGACATAACACTTCTTTCATCTGGTTTTGGCTTTTCTCTTAAAGTAAGTTGACACAGATCTTAAGTGCTAATAGTTCTTCTGTCTTTGGTTGGAATGGTTTAGACAGGAAAATATTGTGAGCAGTGACTAATTAGTTGCAGGAATTGGATTCTTTTTCTAGCACTGTTACTGGTTCATGTGTGACTTTTGGGAATTAGTGGGAAGGATTTTCTTTTTTTTACAGCAATGGGGAGGAAATAGAATCAAAATATTTTAGCTGACTTTTTTTTAGCACTATTAAATTAAACTATCATTTTGAATAATGTTATACTGGTTTTCTGAATCGTTGCTTTGACTCATTTGAGGTCTAGGCCTTCTTTAGCCAATGTCTTTCATGTTACTGTGAAATCAAGATCTCCTAATACACTGGGCTGAGTTTTCAGAAGTGAGCAAATGGGTATTTGCTTCTGTGTGACAGTCTAGATATCAGAGGTTTCAAGAGGAGAATGCTATACAGCACACACAATTTGAAATTCGGACTTGTAAAAATATTTTTAGTTCAAGCTCAAATTCTGCCCAACCTTGAATTTGGCCAGTCTGACTAAGTTTGGAAAAGGCAGCTAAGCCAATCTGAGATGACTTGGTAGCTGCAATAGCAGTGGCCAGTCCGTTTTAGTGCCACTGAAATGGCAATTAGGAGAAATAGTGAAGTCTAGCGTAGACAAGGCTGAAGAGAGAAACTGTAATGATTGCGCACAATCAGTCTTAACACAGAGCAGCAGAGGACAGCAAGCCCATAGGTGACAGACTCAGATTTGGAGTAGTTGCTTCCTCTGGTGCTTTCTTTGAGTTGAGTTCCCTTATCAGCCCAACGCAGTATCTGATTGTTGGGACAGGAGGGAATCTCTGGGTTTATTTATTTATTTTTTTTATAAATAATGGCTGACCCTCTATTGTGAGGTTGTAGGCAGGGTGGGCTCACATAGTTCGCATACCGATTCCCAGAGCTGGACAACATCCTGTGCAAAAATGGCATCATGGGTTCATTTCCAGCAGGGAAAACATGGGCAGCAGTTTATTTCCCGCCCCCAACTCAGGGAAAAACTTCTGCTTTAGGGTGGTGCATTTTACACGTTAGTGCACTCATTCCTGAGATAAAAATCACAAACATCCATTTGTCTTGAGGAAAAAGAGATAGCCAAGTCCTTAACTGGGGGAAAGAATATTTTCCCAAGAGGGCCAAGGATGCCAAGTATTTATGTAGAGAATTCAGTGAACTATGGCTAGCAAGAAATGACAAATACTCATTCTGTTGAGCCTGATTCTGGGACTTAATTCTCTCAATATCCAGCAGAGGTTTAGATCCATGGTTTGATTTAGGGGCCTGTCTGTGTAAAAAGCCCAGTTTGGGGTGATTATAGATGACAACCTCCAAAGCTTAGCTGACTGTTCAATAAAGGCATGTGATGGCCGACAGCAACTTTTAGTCAAGGCAATCTCAGCAACAAATGCAGCAGTTTGAAAAAAAGAAATTTGCATCCATTCAGTTCACTCTGAGAGAAGCATGGCTATGTTCACCTTTGTTTAGTCTCTTTTGAGCCACCTTCTGCTACCATAGCGTAATTCTTAGCATGTAGTCGAAGGTCCTGATGCTGCTTTCACTTCAGAGGGGATTTCCAAGCTTCAGGTCTGATGTTCTCCCATCAGACTGTCTTGCATATTCTTCTTTGGTTTTTTGTAAGCTTATGGAAAATGGTCTCGTCATGAGTAGTTAGAACCAAGTACAATTACATGGCAAGAAAAAATTTAATGACAGAATGCAGTGTGTCCTTGAAGGGCACTACTTAACTGAGAGCTTGAACATAAAATTGTTAAATACTCGTATTATTGCACAGAAAGGCCTCATGTAGAAATTGAGTTGAGGCTTTGTTTCCATCCACTGTAGATTGAAAGGTCACCTATAAACTTGAGATCAGTGTCTGAATTTCCATTGGATTTGCGCGTTTTTAGATCAAGAGTGCTGGGAAGAGTTACATATTAGCCACCATCAGCTTCATCCCCTGTGTTTCTTCTGCAGGAGAAGAGAGCCTAGGACACACAACTGATTGTGACTTTTTCTTTTAATCTTTGTTTAAGAACAGCTGTGACTGTGGTTCTCTGACTCTGATCTTTGTATTTCTTGCAGTGGCTTGGGATACATCACTGGGTCAAGCGTGAAGCAGGTTGCTGGAGACTGGCACTGGGCGTTGAGGGTAAGCTACTACTAATAACATCGTAATAGCAGTTGCATCGGTTGGTCAGTGTTAGGAAGAGTTCTATTATGCAATTTCTCAACCTGTTGTTATATATAGAAAGTAAAGGATTGGAAATTGCATTCATGGATATTAAGTGCATAATAGAAGCATTTTCTAAGCAAATGCGAAAGGTATGTGGTTTTGGCTCATTGTCCTTGTTTTTTTGCCTGCCTGGCAGCAAGAATGTTCCAATCACTTTACTATCAGTCAACCATGATTTCTTGATGGGGATGGGAAGACGAGGCATTGGCCTTAAATCAACTCCACGGTCTTTTCAGTCCCCTGCTGTCAAGAAACTCTGAGAATGGCTTCCTGCTTTGAGGAAAAAACACTTTGTTCCAGTTTCCGCTTGTTTTTCTGCCCCGAGACAGTCGGTTTCCTTCTATTTTAACCTCTTGGGACCTTGACAAATGTGTTGAAAAGATAATACGCTCCAATCACATACGCGCAAACAGATCCTGCACACAAAGATGTCTTGAAAGAGCTGAGAGGAAGCGGCCCAGCAGAAGTGTTTTCTGACCTTTGGCAGCCTGGGTGGCATGAGCCCCTGTGAGGTGCATTCTCTGGCTCTGGCACTTCATGAAGACAATGAATCTCACGAAGCTCAGGCCAACACCATTTATAACAGCAGGTGATGAAATTCATGGGTTCCCATCTCAAGCAAATGTGCCCTTCTGGGACACAGGCCATTCCCTCCCTGTCCAGTAAGGGTATGCTAAGCCAGGAAAATCACCGTGGACAGTTCATCTGCAGCTAGGAGAGTGGAGAGTAGCTTCCAGCTGTGAACCTGAAATGAAAAGTTTAATAGCCTGCAGCTTCACACCAAGAGGATGCTACCTCATTCAGTAGCAGAAAAGCTTTAAGGGTAAGATTAACTTTTCAGCAGAGGCCAGCATAAGGAATAAGAAACACCAAAGCCCCTCCTCCTGGTTACTGGGTTTTAATGAGGTTGATACGTTGGAGCGCTCTTGTGTTTCTGTCTGTAAAACCCAAATGATTCATTTGTGCAAAGAAATCCTCACTAGCATCTTTCTCTTCAGATGAAGTCTCCATACTTATCCCGAGATATCCAGGCTATCTGCAAGATTGTACCCCTTATGAGGTTGTGATTTCCACTGTAAATGACACATTGATGCATGATTCCCTGACCGAGCAAAATGGTGGGGAATCTGACAAGCTGCCCACTTCTGTGGTGGTCGCTTTGGACAGCATTGCTTAGTTTTTGTAGTCAAAGAGCTCACGTTGAAAGCTTCCAGACATCAGCGTAAAGCAGCCTCTGTCCCTGTGGCAATTACTGTGCTCTTGTAAGATGTACAAGATTCCCCTGGGTGATGCTTCCCTCTGTGGTCTCCTGTGGTCGCCAAATCTGGAGGAGACCAGGAATAATCTGTACTTCAATAGGCTGCAGAAGGCAGGAGGGCTTTTTGGCAAGTGGCAGCTTTGTCTCTGGATCTAGCAGTAATGTCAGTGTTTCATTGTAATATTACTGAGTATCGATGGATATTGTCCTGTTGGGGGATTAAGTCTTTAGATAAAAATCAAAGAGACTTTAAATTATATGGCCCTAAAAAATCCCAGCATTGCATTTTTTTTTTTTACCAGTGCTGTGTCTTGTTTTCAGCTGTAATAAGGATACTATATGAGGCTTCATCTATCCCCGAATGAGGGATTTTCCTGACTTTCCAGTTCTGAAATATTTTTATCTTCCCTTCCTGAAGAAGAATTCTGGGTTTGTCATCTTTAGGTGTGAAACTCTGCTCTATGTGTAAAGGCCATTCTCAGGTTATTATTGGAAGCACTTTTCTTTTTTTTGGAACAGGAATTTATTTTTAAAATGGCATTTATAGAAGAGATGATAGGTCAGTGAAAATCCGTGTTCCTGCTTTCGTAATGGAGCTATTTTCCATTCTGACAATGGTGGCATTTCAGTGTCAAAACAAGAATCATGCAAAACACTGTGGGATCTTTGTATTTTTGTCTAGTGATTGGGAGAAAGGATTGGAAGCAGGTAAACCTAACCCTTGAATGTGTTGTTTTCCTACCTTCTAGCCTGAATTTTCAATGTTTCTTGGTCTGCTGTACGCTGAGGTAATCTGAGGAAGCTGCTTGAACATAGGGAGCCATTTCAGGTTAGCTGGAAGAGGGATGCATGTCAAGCAAGGATTTTCAAAGCCAGTGTGTTCCTGACATTCAGAAGTCTTTCACCTGGCCTCATTGCCTTTAAAAGGCTTCTGCACTCTCCCAGAAGCTAGTTGGTCTCTTAGCCCAGCTGGGAGTAGGCTTCCAAAGAGTTAAACATCACTGAAGAACCGTATTTAGATGAATCTTGGTACTTTAATAACACAAAGAAATGGCCTGCCTTAATCAGAGTATTCTCAAAGCTGCTTGCTTCCAGAGTGAGATAAGAGAGTCCAGGGAATGACAGGGAGGAAGGAAAGGAGCACATGCCTCTGTGTGCTTAGATTCTGGCTGGCTGTAAAGAATCGAGCCGCTGAAACAAAACTAACATAATCTGCTTCCTACGGACTAGTCAAAGCAAGCCCTGCTGACTCCTGTGCTGATTCCCTGTTCCTTTCTTGCAGGTTTCTCCACTCCTGGGAATGATAACAGGAACCCTCATTTTGGTGTTTGTACCTGCTGCTAAAAGAGGAAATGTTGAACAACTTGGGGGACAGCTGAAGGCTCGGACCTCGTGGCTGAGAGACATGAAAGCACTGATTAGAAAGTAAGAGCGCTAGAGTAAAAAGCATGGTTTGCCTCTAATGCTTAATTGGAACATCCAAGGGCCTGTACTTCTTAGCACTGTGAGACTGGAGTGTGACAACATGCAGGGAGTTGCAGGAAGGTCTGTGGACCTAGGAAAGAAAACCACAGTTACATTTTCACAAGGTATCGATGCGCTGACAGTGATGGATTCCAACTTTTGCTCCAGCCTTTCCAAGATTGAGATCTAAGAGGGAGTCTGCTTTGTTTGGCTCATACTTCAGACAAATCAAGGCTTTTGAAGTGTCGAAATTGCTGTGTTCCTGTTTTAATTGTTGTGCCGCTGTTGTTCAGACGCTTATATCCCTTTTTTTCCTTGAAAGAGCTATTCTGCTGAGGGGAAAAAGACAGTTAAATGCCAGAGCCATTTAAGAGGAGAAAATACACAAAAGCTTGCAAGTTTAAATATATATGTTTATACAACCACATGTGAGTGAATGCACGAGCACTGAATGTGCTTGGGTGCTTGTATACGTGCGTAAAAGATCACATGCTCACGAGTGTTTAAACAGAAGCCCGTGCTTCCAGGAAGCTTGCCTGTGAATGTGCAAATACTTGCACTTGTGTATTCAATGTTACATCAGAATTCTAATGGGAAACTTGTGGTGTCCTTCATTTTTAGAACTGCTGGCTAGAATGCCTTCCTGGTATTGCCATCCAGTAGCAAAGGACTGTCAGAAGTGATGATGGTTACTTTATCGATATTTCTACATTAATTCGTTAGTTTGTCCAAGTAGTAATTATATGGTGGCATGGGTGGGGAGGGAGAAGTGAAACTGGCAATGCAGGTAAACAGATGATTTTACAGTGAAAGCCCTGTAATTCACACATCGTGTCTTAGGGACTAAGTACCGATTGTTTCCTGAAACGGTCCCATGAAAAATGGCCTCTTTGAAGCAGCTCTGAAGACTTAAGTACATTATTATCAATGGAGCATCACAGATGAAGAAATATTCCATGCCTCTTATTCTCCATTGCTTTTTACCTTGTTTTATCTCTGCCCCTTAGCAAAGGGAGGTCGCTAGTACAGGGGAACACTGTGTTTTGTCACTGAAGCACCAGCTCCTGTCCTGGGGTTTCTGCTCTTTCACTTTTCCCACTAAACCTTCTCTTGGTTTTGCCTCATGCGTCTCCACAGCCGCAGCTATGTCTTCTCATCGTTGGCCACTTCAGCTGTCTCCTTTGCCACAGGGGCACTTGGCATGTGGATCCCTCTCTACCTTCACAGAGCACAGGTTGTGCAGAAGACAGCAGAGACCTGCAGCTCACAGCTCTGCAGCACCAAAGATAGGTGAGATTCATACTCAGCTGCTTTAAAGAGAGGGAAAAGGGGGTGGGGGCTTATTTACCAGAGGAAACAGGCAAGTCCCATGGAATCAAGTTACTAGAATGTCTGTAATTTCCTCTAGGTCTTTGCAACAATGATAGGAAATGCTGGGATTGTAAACTAGGTTTTATTTCTCTTCTTTTCTTCATTGCATGAAGTCAAACCAAGGGAGAAGCAATGACCTCATCTCTGCCTTAGTTCCTGGGTTATAGGGCAGAAGTAGAAAAGAGACTGCTGTCTTTGCATTAGAAGACGTTTGGAGAGTTGAGAGTTTGGTTTCTTAAGACCCACGCTGTTTTCTGTGATAGCAGCAGAATCACCTGGCAGGCTGGGTAGCCGCAGTAGTGGCTGTAATTCAGGGGTCCCCTAAAGGCTGCGGGGACTGACCCTGAAGACTTTTGTTTCTGTGTGAGGGAGAACTCTGTGTTTCATTGCTCTGTACACAACTGTGTATGCTGAATTTTCCTGAAATATGGTGCAGAGATCTGGGATGCTTTGGTCTGGATTGCTTGATGTTAAATGTCCCAGTTATGTAATATTGCTTGCAGCACGTAAGCTATGAAAAGTAGTTCATTGTTTTGTGCTTCACTACGATGACACAAAACATAAAATGCTAAAAAGCATTTCTGCAGGTGAATAAAAGAGAGGAAAAACTGCCTTTTGTCAGCTCTTTTGCTTTTCAGCTTGTGAGGGGAAAACAACATTCAGAAAACCTTCCTGCTCTAGCTGACACAATCCCTTCTCAAGTAAACTACTTAGTGGTTTGGAGTACCACCAAGTAGAGCGCCCAGTGGGCAGTCTCAGTCTGTTCTGCAAAAACACAGTGAGCAGAAAATACAACTCCAGTCAGACTGTCCATCTTTTGTTTACAGAGAGAAGTTTTCCACTCCTTGATGACACCTATATTTTGAGCTGCCCTGGAGCTACTGTAATGTAGTTGTCAAAGACTCTGTAATGCCAGTCCTGCACATATGATAAGAAGAATCCTTGACAGCTCCTGGCTCTTTAAATTTAAGTTAACACATTTCAAATGTGTAACATAACAGCAAAATAATCTAGTCAGGCTTCTTTGAAGTGGTCTGAAAGAAGTTAGAAAGTCAAAGTATGTTGAAAGTCACTGGTATTTATACTCTTGTTAGGTTTCCTTTCCCTTAAGCTTTTTGGTGCCTATTCTGTCCATGATTTCCCCTTACGTAATCCATGTGCAGGTTACTACTTAGTTTTGTGCATACATAAGTAGCTGTACAATGCACTCAACAAGAAGCTCGGTTCTGCACAACAAAGTGGTATGAGCCCTTTGCACCTCTCTGCATGTTGATCAATGCCTGTGTACAAGGCTGAATTTCATATGCTGTGTTTTTCTTCATTGTAGGGGAAGAGTGCTAAAATCACAAGCACTCAGCAGGGGAGCTCATTCGTTTTATTTTAAATTTGCAAAGCCGATGTGCAGATTTCCATTAGTCCATTTACCCTAATAATTTGTTCAAAGACCATGCCCATTTTTGGGAAAAACTAAAGAAAAAAACCCAACCTGTCTCTTTTTTTTCTTTTTTCTTTTAATAGCTTGATCTTTGGAGCAATCACGTGCTTCACTGGTTTCCTGGGTGTAATCACAGGGGCTGGTGCAACCAAATGGTGCCGGTTAAAAACCCAGCGAGCTGATCCTCTTGTCTGTGCTGTTGGCATGCTAGGATCAGCCATCTTCATCTGTCTGATCTTCGTTGCTGCCAAGAGCAGCATTGTGGGAGCCTATGTAAGTATAATCCTTTGCATATGTCAGTCTTGCTCTTACTCTCTCTACCAAGCTCCTTAGAAGACCGTGTGCATTGTTCCCTGCAGGAAGCCTGAGGTGTTGGTCTTGCTTTTTCCCTTCTGAATGTCCTTCACTTTGCCCCTTGGCATTTTGGCACTATCTAGATGTGCCTGAAGGGAAAATTATATCTCAGCTGCTTATCTCCTCTCGCTAACTGCCATCAGAATTGAGAGCTGGGGATTTACCACACGCATGGAAACCCACAGTTCCCTGCCTTTGGGTTGTTCTACCTATCACTCTTGCCTAATGTTTTGGTACAGGAAAATTGGCCAATTCCCTTACTATAAGGCTATTGTAGCTGCAGTGGTACCAAATTATAATTACAGTATAATTTGTCCATGGGTATGCTTTTGGCTGCCTATAAGTACCATTAATTTCCATAACTGGGTAGCTTGCTGCTGACCAATATTAATTACCATGTAATTTCAATTTGTTGTTATCTGTATTAGCGTATCACCTGAAAGTCCTAGTCATAGCCCAGGAACCTACAATACTTGATGCTGCACAAATGCAGATTAAAATCTGGCCCTCCCAAAGTGTTTATAATTGAAGTATATAAGAAGACATCAGATAGATCCAGACAAATAGAAAGGAAAAACTCAAGTATAATAATCCAGCCTCAGGCTAGACTCTTGCTTTCAGGAGAGAGCAGAAATCCAGTACGCTGAAGAGGTCCCGGGTTCCCTTTTAATGGAATAGAAAGAAGCCTGGGAACTGGGGGAAATTTTCTGAAGGGAAAGCATGAGATGGTTGGAGTAGTCAGATAATTCCTGAGAGCCCACCCTGAGCTTCCCCACTGCAGTGCACGTTCCACCCAGCAAGGAGAATTCATTTACAATTACCCAATTGACCAATCTACTGGGGTTCCTTGTTTCTCTTTCTAGCACTAGCCTAGCCATGGTTATTTTCTGAGTATTTCAATAGCTGCCATCATTATGGGGAAGCATAAGAAGAAAGAGTGAAAGTTTAAAAACATTAAGACAGAAGGAAGAATGCCTGCTCTGGCTATTTGGAAAGTGTCAGAAGGAGATTCAGTCCTCTGTTTTTGTGGCATGGTCTAGAATTAACCTGATCAACAGAAAAATTATCACCTCAGACAACCTGTAAGAGAGGGTGTTACTGGTTGGCCAAGCATTAACCCTCCTTCCATCATCAGCTGTCTCCGAGTGAAGAGATCTGTCACATCCCTCTGCCTGTCCCTCCCTTCCACCTCCTTGTGCAGCCAGCCCTGTGATTTTCTCCCTTCTCAGACCTGATGACAGACGTGATCATTTGTGGTGTGTAGTCTCTTTATGCAGAAAGTCCTCCCTTTCTAAGCTGGAAATACTGTTTTCAAAAATTTTGCAACAAAAGGTGGTTATTGGTCTCATCGTCATCTTTTTTTCTTATTTTTTTTTTTTTTTAAATAGCCATGCGACTATTCTGCATTGTGTAAATACATAAACATAGATGGTATTATTTAATGAATATTAGAAACAATTTATTTTATTATGCATGAGCTGTAAATCTAATAGAATCTCAGAATCATCGAATGTTTGGGGTTGGAAGGGACCCCTAGAGGTCACGTAGTCCAACCCCCCTGCAGGGAGCAGGGACACCGCTAACTAGATCAGGTTGCTCACAGCCCCGTCCAACCTGGCCTGGAATGTTCCCAGGGATGGGGCCTCCACTGCCTCTCTGGGCAACCCGTTCCAGTGTTTCACCACCCTCATTGTAAAGAATTTCTTCCTTATATCCAGTTTAAACCTATCCTGGTTTAGTTTAAAACCATTACGCCTTGTCCTGTCACAGCTGTCCCTACTAAAAAGATTGTCCCCACCTTTCCTATATGCTCCCTTTAAGTACTGAAAGGCCGCAGTCAGGTCTCCCTGCAGCCTTCTCTAGGCTGAACAAGCCCAACTCTCTCAGCCTGTCCTCATAGGAGAGGTGCTCCAGCCCTCGGATCATTTTTGTAGCCCTCCTCTGGACCCGCTCCAAGCAGAGTCAATGATTTGCAGAGGAAGTTACATCTGCATATGAAGGGGGTATGAGGAATATAAGCCTGTTTGCTGATGCTGCTAGGCTGATGCATACATTTGTTGCAGTTAACGCTGCCTCCCCGTAGCCCTAAATGTGCTTTCTCTGCTGCTGAAAACCTGATGCATAGAAAGCAGATAAGAGTCTAGTTATTGTGCTGAGTGGGGAATCGGAGATCTGAACTCTTTTTAACAGATTCTACACATGACAGTGGGAAAGCTGGTTAACTTTGGTTAAAATCTTGAATGAAGATTCTTAACTGACAAAGGGTCAGGGTAGCTTAGATCATTAATGTTTGTAAATCACATGGAGTTAGAATATCTTGTGGCCAAGCTATCCACTATAAATTAATATAAACAGAAAACAATGACACACCTCCTGCTGCTGTTGCTGTTTAGTGTTACAGGTGCTAACCCCACTGAGCGAACAGGTCTGTGCTGGAGCTACCAGTGTCTCATAATAAGATATTGTCATGGTGGTGCTCTGTATCAGTTGAATTGACTTTTCAAGGCAAGTTTCAAGTGCAAGCCCTTGTTTTTCCATGCCGTTCAATGCTATTGCAGTCTTACAGACTTCTCAGAGTGTTTCATGCCTTTGTATTTCCCTAGACCTGTCTTGCAAGGTTGCGTAGTGTAGCACTTTCTCATACTGTCTGGTTTAAGTCTCATTGGTCCAAAATGAAGGAGAGACTGTTCTCTGACTCTGGAGTTGCAACACCTAGATATCGTGGACAGCATGATGGACAAGGTCACCTTCTGTATCTCAGAATCCATGATAGTAGCTTGTTCTGGGAAGAATGCAGTAAAATTTATGGGTGGATTTTCTCATCTCTGATAGCTTCCTTGACGGCTGTGCCCTTGCTCTCATCCTGAAAGAGCATCCTTGAATTCTATATGACCGTGAAGGGCAAGAGAAACATTCTGGTCTGTGCCCCAGCATGGTGGTCTTTCCAGACCTTCTGTACTGTGACTGTCCTTAGATTTCTGTCATTGATCACACCATGCTAAAATTGAAGGGTTACTGGTTTTGGACCCCTCATTGGCTCAGAGCCTTAAAATTGTCACTTCCAAGCAATTAGATGGGTTCCCATGAGATGGTGTTCTCTCACACTGAGCTACGATGGCCACCAGATCACCATCTCCCTCCCTGCTCTAGTTAACAGTTGAGAGTTTTTAATTTCAACTGATACTGGCATCAGCATAAATGAAGCGTTCAGCACTCCAGCAAGAATCAGCAGAGCCCTTGCTTTTTAATTTCTGGGCTTATGGGGTTTTGTTTTTTTGGAAAAGACCCGTATATCCTTTGGCATGATCACCTTGTCCCTTACAGGCTGTCGACTGTCTGCTCTCTTCCTCCCCTGAACATGCATACTTTTTCTCCCTTGCTCAGTCCTGTCTTGCAGGTGGCTTTGGTCCCTGAGGGCAGCTGCTATTCCAGTTCTGTAGCAGCCACTCCTCCCTGGAGCAGGTAGACAGACTTCTTTTTTCCATCCAGTCTTTTCATACTAAGCCAGTAAATTATTGGCAGTGGCAGAAGTGGCTGGAAAGGTGGAATAAAACAGCATTCTGTATGGCTTAGCTGCCCAGACACTTGAATTTCTGTCTTTTACTATGTTGCTTGGCTGTGTAGTCCAATCAGTTCTTAATCTGTGTTCCTTGCAGAATGTGGATTTGCTCCTTAAAACAGCAATCTGCATATCTTTAGGTCTTACTCTTTCTGAAATATGTACTGTTCAAAATGTTGGTTTTCCAACTTGTCTCTTGAAACCCCTTAGCTGTATGGCATCATTGTATCACACTACTCAGGCATTTCAGTAGCAGATTTTAGACTAGTTCAAATTTCCGAATGACTGGAGAGAGATGCTTTGCTTTGCCTTTCTTTTGACGCTGTTCCAAGTTCCTGTTGTACCTCAATTTCAACATCTATTTCAATTCCTCAAAGACATTTTATGATCTTGCAGAAACAGGAACTCCCAGGGTAAAACCTTGCCATAGAGCTTTTACAGCATCTCAGGCTCAACTCCAGGGACTGTCTGTTGACATGGTGACTTACCTGCTTCCGAGGCATCGATATTGCCCAACACTGAGATGGAGTTAGAGTCGCTTCAAATTCAAGAGTACATGTGGGAGTCTTGACCACCATTTCAAAGAGAAATACAGATAATGAATATGTAGACAGATATGTACTTTGCAAATAGTCGCAGAAGGAGTTTATAACCTGCTTAGATCTTGCTGTGAGAGCTGCTGGTGTGACCACTCTACTGCTCCACTTATCATTTTGGGGAATTGAAATTTGCTAACCAATCACATGAACAGGAGACTTGAGGGGAACAGAACTTCTGTTGGCTCATCACCAATGAGCAACTGGACACCAAATGGAGATGGTGAGATACTATACAACACGGCTGGATTCAGAAGAGGATCTATCTCTAGAGCTGAAATCTCAGTGTAAAATCGGGCTTTGAAAAGTGTGTGAGGAGCCAAAACTGTGAGCGTTTCAGGAGCTATTGATCTGTTCTGGAGGCTGCCCTATTTGCAGTATACATCCCTAGAGTCTCTCTCCAGCAGAAATGCCACATATCCTTATATGCTCTTTGCAGTGGATGAACTCATTTTTATAAATCCCCATTAGCAGCTGAAGGACAGACTTTTTTTAATGTCAGTATCTTTTG